CAGAATGAGCAGCTGGAGAAAACCAAAACCAATAACAGGTACTGTAGTCCTGGACGCATAGAAACAGGATGGAAGATCAATAAAAATGAAAGAAGACTGTGGGGATATGTGAGTTATCCCGGCTTAAAAAGAGTGTAGATCTGTCAGTTGTGGCAGGGGAAGAAATGATGGCCATCCAGTCACTCAACTTCTGTGCCCTTGAGTAAGTTTACAACTAATTACTGAAATTTGTATCCATATGTTGTTTTTTCAGGAAGAATCGGAATAACCTATCCTTGAATTTCAAGAAACACAGTATGCTGGTGTCCCCATTTGTGTGTGGCATCAGTTTTTGTTTCAGTTGTCTACAGGTTCATATTTTAAAGAAAATCCATTCTCTCTAAGGGGAAATCTCATGTGGCTTTTCACCACCTTTTTAGTTAAAATGCTATTTGACCTCCACTTACCTTATTTTTCGCACTAAAAGGCGCACTTAAAATCCTTTAATTTGCTCAAAAATCGACAGTGCGCCTTATAATCTGGGGCGACTTGTGTATGAAAATGGACCCATTCATCGACAGTGCCCCTTATGGTCCAAAAAATACGGTGGAACCCCGGCTTACAAAGACCCCATTTAACGAAAAATTCAAGTTACGAAAGCACTTAACGGCAATATTTCTGCCCATGGTACAGCAAAATGCCCGCGTAACGAAATCCGCTGGCTGAGCCCAGAATGCTCACAATGCCTTCTGAATCATGTGAAACTCCTTGGCTTTCGTACTTGCGTTTCGCTGTTCCACGTGAAAGACGTATTGTTGTTGCAGTGCGCTATTTAGTGTGCTTTTCATTTGCAATTAGCCTATCGTTCATTCATAATGTGGCCGAAAAAACTTTCTGCAAGTAATTCAAGTAAAAAGAAGAAGCGTAAAGTGCTCTCGATGGAAACAAAGAAATTATTGATAAATATGAGCGAGGTCCTCCTCCACCAAGAACTTCGTCTTCAGCCAGCATCGCCTCACTCAAAAGGCGATGGAAAAAGGTGCTTCGACTTACAAAAATTTTGACTTACGAAAGACTCTCTGGAATGAATTTATTTCGTAAGTCGGGGTTCCACTGTATTAAGTTTCCCAGACACTGGAGTTATTGTTCACTGCATGTCTTCAGTCATTAAAATTACCAATACCTAAGACAAGTCTATGCAATTTGCTGTTATTTCTGGAAATGTAATAACTAATGTATGATATTTTAAGGAAAACAAATGGAGTCAAATATCTCCTGTGAGGTAAAAACA